AAGTAATTATTAACTTACTAGCTTGCATTTGAGCTTCCATTTTCTCATTATAAGGTTTATTCTTATGGTTGGCCTTTAAATGTTTTACTAAATTCGAAGATTGAAATCCTTTTACATTTTCGATCTTACTATAATTACAACTATTAAATTATTAGTATTAATATAAGCTTATAAATAGTAATGATAATAATAATAATTTATATATATATAAATCTTATATTATTTGTTTACTTCTTTTACTTACTATTTACAAAGTAGTTTAATTCTACGAGGTTTAGTTATATTAATTGGTAAGAGTTCAACTTTAAAATGCCCAGCTTTAATAACATAAGCTTTTGAATCGAATGTAAAATCTATTGTATTTTCGTAAATATTATTAGAATTATCTTGAAAACTATTCGAAGTTGGGATAGGGGAAGTATTTTCAATTGTTCTATTTTTTCCTTTAATATTCGTATTAACATTTAATTTATTAACTTTTTGGGTAGTTTTATTTTGAGTAGAGGGGGTAAATTCAATATTATCCGATTTAAAAGGCATTGTATAATTTATACTAGAATATAATAAGGTTTAAAAGGTATAATTATATATATAAGTATATAAGATTGAATATAAATAGAATGTTGTAGATTTCTAATAGTTAAGTTTAGGAAAAAAATATAAAGTTAAAAGAAGGTGGAAAGTTATACTCTTTATATTTTAATAGTTTATTTAAAAAATAATAAGATTATTAATTTAATATAAGATTTACTTAAATAATTAATTTAATTAATTATTATTATTTAATTAAATAATTAATTTAATATTTAATTAAATAATTAGTTTATAGATTAATCGAATAATTAATTAATTAATTAATAAAATTTATTATTATAAGTAAATTGATAGTTAATTCAATTATTGAGAAAATATTAATAATTAATTAATTTATCTATTTATTATTATTATTATTAGTCTTATATACGCTAATTATATATATAGTCCGCCTAGTGGGTACGCGGTGCTGCTTCGCTCGTAGTCGGTGGGAAAAACCGTACCGTAATGGCCGGGTGAAAACCCTCCGCTTCGCTGTCGCAACGGCGCCGTGTTGGCTCCGTGCCTTCCCGATTTCCTTCCTCTCGGTATGACCTTACCGTTATGACTGAGGCTATGAACTTGTGTTGTGTGTGTGGCCGACCCGGCTCCGGCCTGTAGCCGTCCTTCCTTCGTCCTCTTGCCGTGGCTTCTTTGCGGTTGGCGGTCTTTCATCCCATTTTTCCTCAATTACGTCATCCCGGGCCGCCCAGATATTTCTATAAAGGAAACTTCGACCCGGCTTTCTCCTTCCTTCCCTTCTTTCTTCCTTACACTATGCTACCGCCTTATCTATTTATTAATTAAATGATTAATGTAATATTTTGTTTAATAATAGTAATATATTAAAGAATCTATTTAATAATTAATTAACTCGTAAGATTAGTTAGGGAATTAATTCAACGATTAACAATTAATATTAGTTTTAATTTAGTTACTATTTAATAATTAATGATTAATTGATTAATTAATTAATAAATAAGAATTGATTAGGAATTAATCTGAATAAATATTAATTATTATAATTAATTAAGGAATTAAATTAATAATTAATAGTTAATATTAAATTAATTGAATTAATTATTAATTAAATAATCAATGTAATATTTTATTTAATAATAGTAATCTATAAAGGAATCTATTCAATAATTAATTAAGTTGTAAGATTAGTTAAAGAATTATTTTAACGATTAACAATTAATATTAGATTTAATTTAATCACTATTAAATAATCAATAACTAATTGATTAATTAATTAATAAATAAGAATTAATTAGGAATTAATCTAACTAAATATTAATTATTATAATTATTTAAGGAATTATATTATATTAATTAATAACTAATATTTAATTAATTGAATTAATTATTAAGTAGAAAAATAAATGTAATACTTTATTTAATAATAGTAATATATTAAAGAATCTATTTAATAATTAATTAAGTCTTAAAATTAGTTAGGGAATTAATTTAACGATTAATAATTTATATTAGAATTAATTGAATTACTATTTAATAATTATTGGATTAATCTATTAATTAATTAATAAAGTAGAATTAATTAGGAATTAATCTAATAATATATTAATTATTATAATTAATAAAGGAATTACATTAATAATTAATGATTAATAATTAATTAATTAAATTAATTATTAATTAAATAATTAATATAATATTTTATATAATAATAATAATATATCAAAGAATCTATTTAGTAATTAATTAAGTCTTAAGATTAGTTGGGGAATTAATTTAATAATTAATAATCAATATTAGGTTTAATTTAATAATAGTTTAATAATTAAAGATTAATTTATTAATTAATTAATAAATAAGAATTAATTAAGAATTGATTTAAAAAGGAATTAATGATTATAATTAATTAAGGAATTAAATTAATAATTAATAATTAATTCTATTAAATTAATAAAAAATTAATAAATTTAAATAATTATTTAAGAATATTAGTCAAAAAATTTCTATATATATCTCCCTTCCCCTCTTTACTTTTAATCTTTCTTATTTCCTATTCTATAACGAATTTGAATACTTTATTCGTCTAATAATTACTATAATAATATACTAATTACTAATTTAAAATTTATTAAATCTTTTTAATAAATTTTATAAAATGGCTACTACTACTTCCGCCTTCCCCTTTGTTAACCACTACGGTTATACTTCCATTCAATCCCGCTTCGAACAATTAAAAGATTCTATTATAACCTTCGAATAAAACCCTAACCAACAGAAGATTATGGAAATCTTCAACGAAGCTTGGGCTTTAGAAAGGGATATAATTTAGGAAGTAAATTTTGTATTTTTATATAATTTTATTTTATTAAAATATTAATAATATTATAGTATAACCTTCGTAACGATAAATATTTTGGCTATTTTATAGCTGCTCCGCACTTCTGCTATTCGTATTCTACGGTACGTATTTATATATATATATATATATATATATATAAATATATATATATATATTTTATTTCTTATTATTTATTTTATTATTTATTAAATATTTATTAATTTATTTATAGAATAATTTCCACCCTCTTACACTCATTCCGAAAATCCATCCTTCTACCAATTTTGAAGAAGATTCTGAAGAATTCTGGGAATTGGAAGGCGATATTAATTCTAACGAACACCAAGAAATCGAAGAATTACAAACCGAAGACCCAAGCCCGATTCTTTCTAATATATATAAGGAAATTCAAGCCCTTAAAATCCGATTTACGAATTCGATTACGGTTTGGAATAATAACCTTAAGAGCCAGGAAGAGATTGAAAGAAAAATGAAAGAAGATCAACAAAAGGAAGATATTTATAAGAATTTGAAAGAAGAAAATCAACGGCTACGAAAGAAGGTCGAGGATTATAAAAGGATTATAGAATTCGGGGAGGATCTAGAATCGAATATGGAAGCCCGGGATAGAAATGCTTTTAAAAGTAAGTAATTTATATATTTATTTATTTATCTTTTATTATTTTATTTATTTACTAATTATATTATTAGAAAGTCCAAGGACTTATACAAAGCGGGTTCGAGCCTAGAGAAACAGAAAGTTCATTGTAAGTAATTAATAATTTTAAATATAGTTAAATATATATATATATATTATTTATTTATTTATTTATTTATTTATTCATTTATTTATTTATTTACTAATTATTTATTATTATTATTATAGGATGATAAGATTTTCTGGGTTTGTGATAATTCCCGTTGCAAGAAGCGCTTTCTTAACAAGCATGCTTTGCAGTACCACTGGCGCCAGCAGCAGGATTTGAAGAAGGAGGGTAAGGCTTATAAGGCTTGCTTTAAAGGAATTTAAAACTTATATTAATAAATAATAATAAGAATTCTTATTATTATTATTATATAGGTTTTAGGATTTTCTTATCTATTTGCTTTTTATTTTCTTATATTATTATATAGTATAGCAGATTGAAGATCTTTATATATATAAATATATATATACGTATATTTTATCTTTATATATATAATAATAGAAGGTATTAAAATTAAGTAATATATTAATATAAATATAATTATATAGACGTATTATATTATTATATATAATATTTACTATTATTAGTATTTAAGAATAATTATATAGATATAATAAGGTATTATAAATTAGAATTTACTATATATATTAGTAAAAATCTAAATAAGTATTAGAAATATTAGACTAATATACCTAATACTAGTCTAGTATTTTCAGTACTAGACTAGTATTTTCAATACTAAACTAGTATTTCCAGTACTAATTTTAGTATTTTTAGTATTGAATTAGTATTTCTAGTACTAATTAGTACTACTCTAGTATTATTAGTAGTACTAGAGTAGTACTAATTAGTACTAATTAGTATTTTATTTTTCTTAATAACTTTTTAGTTTTTTACTTTCCTAGAAAACCGTTACTAGTACTGAAAAGAGCTCGTTTTCTAGTATATTTTCTATACTAAAACTATTTTTTTGAAAATACTAAAAATACTTTAGTAGTACTAAATACTAGAGTACTAATTAGTACTAGTACTGGGTCTAGTACTAGTACTAGACCTCTAGTACTAGTACCGGTCAAATACTAGACTAGAGTAGTACTAATCCCAACTCTGCCGAACAGTAATCTTACCTCAGCAGCGATGAGGATAACTCAAGTTCAATCAAATAAGGGTTTAAAGTTGATTGAGTGGGTTAAGTAACCAACTTGAATTGATTGATTGCTTAATTAATCAAGTAATTGACGATAGAGCAAAACACTAAAAATTTCGAGATAGGGTAGGTCCGAGCTAGGGTAGCGATCTTTAGGGATAGAAAAGTATGGGCTTCAACCCTAACCCTAGAATTCCGCCGGGCGGCCAATTAATGTCAATCAAGTTGATGACCCTCAATTACTTGGTCAACTCTACGGGGGACCTCGAATTAATTGATTATATTTGCTTGATTGCTTGAACTTGGCTTGGCAACTTGAGTTATCCTCATCGCTGTACCTCAGTACGAGGACGGCATAACCGACAACCGCCCACCATCGTTAACAAGAATCAGACCGTTGCAGAAGCTTCCGGCACGGCTCGCAAGATACAGGACGGTGCCAGCCATCTCTTCCTCACCACCAAACTTCCTAACAGGGATAAAATGCGGACTTTCAAAGGACTCGGTCCCGGGATCACGGTTACCGATGAGTCCGGCGGCGAGCTCGGAAGGGAATACTGTAAATCTCATCAGCATCAGCATTTCGAAATAACCGCAAGGGACTACACTTACACCCCGGAGCCAACGCATTCGCCCGAATGCCATAGGGAGCCAAGGCAGAACTGGCCTGCTTGGTTAAATAGATCATCGCAGCCTTGCTACTTCCATATGCCGGCGTCGATACCGTCTTCCGGCTGAATCCCGCAATACTAGCTGTCACGATGATCTGGCTCTGAACAGACGGGACATTACTCCCGGCTACCACCGGCTTGCCAAATCCTCCCTTCTCGACAGCGTTCTTGTTGCCCGCCTCCAGCAACTCAAGGAAGGCGACCATCGAAAAGAAGGCGCCGGTGACGTTGGTGTGAAGGGCACTGGTCATCTCCTCCATCTGGTAGTTGGTGAACAGGTTCTTGCGGACTTCGGAGAGAGGGAGGCTAGTATCCCACTTGTTGGCAGGACCCAGGACGCCCGAGTTGGCGACAAAGAGATTGATGTAGCCGACATCGTTCGTGATCTTGTCGACGCACTTTTGGAGGGCGTCCTTATCAGTGACATCGCAGATGATGGCGACGATGATGCCTCCCTCGGGGTTAGCTCGGACGGCGGCGGAAAGAACATCGGCACGACGGCCGAGGATGTAGACTCGCTTAGCACCATTGGCGGCAAGGGCTCTGGCCATCATAAGGCCGATGCCTGGAAAGTTGAATGGTTAGCCAATGGACGAAGGCGAACGTCAAAGAGGTTCACCTGTTCCGCCTCCGGTGATGACTGCAACGATGCCGTTGACATTGAACAAGTTGTTCACGGCGAGGTTTGACATGGGGGTTCCGGAAGTCATTTTGACGGTAGATCTTGGTGAATTCGATACAGAAGATGTCCTTGGAGATCTGTCTTGTGAGTCGATGTTGTTTATTCTGTCACCGTCAAGTTCAAAGCCGCATTTCAGTTCACCAAACAATCGATGATGTTGTGTGGATGGAGGTTTGAGAGCTTAAGGAGCTCATGAATGGTTGTGAACGGATTCCAAGTCAACTGTTCTAGTTCCCAGTTTATGTAGCTTGCAGTGGCTGCTCTTTATAGCGCGATGCATTCAAGCTTCTTTTCTTGGTGGTGTAGATGCACTTCGTGTTCGGATTTATTGGCCAATCTCCATCATCTCCTGCTTCTGTCGCAGATATCGGAAGTGTTGGGGGATCGCCGAAATGTGATGTAGGACAGGCCGGCAGTTGGAGAAGCGACCGATGTCCAGAGCCTGGTTGGTTGCGTTAAAGCCACTTTCAATGGCATGCCAGGTGACAGTGAATGGCGATCGTGTTGGCTTAGCAGCAGCCAATCAACATTGTCAAAGTTTTGGTATATGGGGGTATGTAAGTTGGTGAGGAGAATGTTGAAAAGTCGGGAATAAGGACTAGGGAAATGCTTGATTGGCATCTTAGTTGGAGAAAGGAAGAATGGATGGCCGGCCCAGGTTTAAACACTACCACGATGAAACTTCAAGGCGGGGGGCCTCCTTCCAGACGTCAATATTCAATAATCATCACCATATTCACTCAGACTGGGGGAAAAGAGGTGCATTGACAAGGAACGATGAACCGAAAGTCAGTCCGTGATATTCGTGTTGGTGGGAATAGCATCGCTCAAAGCTTGGACCAAGAGGCAATCCTGAACAGTGTCCCGAGGCCAATACCATGCCTCGAAACCGCCATTCGTGGAATTCCATTAAAAAAGAAAATTCCACGATATGAATGACAGGAATCACGACATTGACATAGACAGAGAAAAAGTGCAAAAAGAAAGGCGTGTTTCAACGCCGGGAATTGAGCCCGACGTGGGGGTCGAACCCACAACCTTGAGATTAAGAGTCTCACGCTCTACCGATTGAGCTAGCCGGGCAGCCAAAGCTGCCGTTTGTTGACAGGACTGAACGGAACTGGCGCTCAAGAGCCCAACCGACTTGCGTTGCCCTGGTCAACAACAGGTAGGCTGAACAGGACGGGATCAAAGAGGCATTACCGAATGCGCGTTAAAGAGGAGAAGATAAAAGATGGTAGCTGCTAATGAAGTGATGCTGAGCCAGTAAGTCGGGCATTGTTGGAGTCTCGCATCAGTCAATCATTCAGACCTAACGGCGTTGCTGGCGGTGAGATGCAATGGTGAAGCTGCGGGGAGACGGGAGACGGAGACAATGACATGCCTTGACGGGACGGGTTAGGGTTGTGTACGGCTAACTCTGCGGCCTCCAAGATTTTCCGCCGGCTGTCATTGGCCAACCAAGCACACACTCACGGACTGGAAGGGTCCACATGTCCGATTCGCGGGGCCGGCCCGCGTCTGGAATTTGGGAAATTGTGAGTCAAAGCCCCACCATGCCTGTGCCAGACGGAGACTCCAGTACGGCGCCGCACCCCCCCGGAGTTTGACCACTGAACCGTCAGCTCCAAGCCCCCCACGATCCGCTTGCCGCTCCGATCGAGTCCGTTGCTTCACTTTTGTTCCCATACACACACACACACACACAACCACACATAATGGCGCCTCCAACAAACACCACCGCGTCCTCCGAGGACCTCGCGACCGACATCCTCGCTGCCCTCGACAAGTCGCAGCCCCTCCTCTCCAGCGATGCCTTCCCCAGCGCCACCTTCGTCGACCTCAAGGCCGCCCTCGACAGGCTGGCGTCGCGCGAGATGGTAAGATACGACACCATTGAGCGCCAGGAAGCCCTCCTCGAACCCGAAGCCGAACAGATCGTCGCCAATGGCTCCCACGAGGCCCGCGTCTTCGAGGCCCTGCGCAAGGCCGTCGAGGGCCTGTCGGTCAAGGAGCTGGAGGAGGCCATCGGCGACAAGAACGTGGTCAAGATCGGCCAGGGCAAGGCCTTCAAGGAGAAGTGGATCAGCAAGACCAAGGACGGCAAGTTCACGGCCGTCGCCGACAAGATCAACGACACCACGCAGGAGCAGATCAAGACGGTCCAGCAGACCAAGACACACCCCGACCCCAAGATCCTCGCCGACCTCAAGAAGCGCAAGCTCATCCGCACACAAAACATCTTCTCCTTCAAGATCCACAAGGGCCCCAAGTTTGCCCTCAAGATCCCCGAGGAGGCCACCGACCTGACCGCCGACATGATTGCCTCGGGCGCCTGGAAGACGGCCACCTTCAAGCCTTACAACTTCAAGGCCCTCGGCGCCACCCAGAACGGCGGCGCCCTGCACCCGCTCAACAAGGTGCGCCAGGAGCTGCGCAACATCTTCTTCGAGATGGGCTTCGAGGAGATGCCCACCGACAAGTTCGTCGAGTCCGGCTTCTGGAACTTCGACGCCCTCTTTGTGCCCCAGCAGCACCCCGCCCGCGATCTCCAAGACACCTTCTACATCTCGGACCCCAAGGCCGCCGACTTCCCGCGCGCCGACTCGCCCGACGACACAAAAGACTACCAGGCCTACTGGGGCAACGTCAAGGCCGTGCACCAGGACGGCAAGTACGGCTCCATCGGCTACCGCTACCCCTGGTCTGGCGACGAGTCGCTCCGCCTCGTCCTGCGCACACACACCACCGCCATCAGCGCAAACATGCTGCACAAGCTGGCCGCCACCAAGGGCCCCGACGGCAGGCCTCTCCCGGCTCGCTACTTCTCCATCGATCGCGTCTTCCGTAACGAGACCGTCGATGCCACACATTTGGCCGAGTTCCACCAGGTCGAGGGTGTCATTGCCGACTACGGCTTGACCCTCGGTGGTCTGATGGAGTTCATGGAGATCTTCTTTGGCAAGATGGGTCTGCATGATTTGCAGTTCAAGCCCGCTTACAACCCTTATACCGAGCCTTCAATGGAGATTTTCGCTTACCGTGAGTGGCACCTTTAAGTTGTGGCTGAAGAAACCGAAACGCTGACAGACAAACACAAAAATAGACAAGGGCCTCGGCAAGCTCGTCGAGATCGGAAACAGCGGCATGTTCCGCGCCGAAATGCTGGAGTCTATGGGTCTTCCGTACGTCTATCCCCTTTCCTCCCTTCTCTCACTTTTCATATCCTCGCAAACCCGTACTAACACCCCCCACAGCAAGGACATGCGCGTCTTCGGCTGGGGTCTCTCCCTCGAGCGCCCCACCATGATCAAGTACGGCATCTCCAACATTCGCGAGCTGCTGGGTCACAAGGTGGATTTGGAGTTTGTCCAGGGTAGCCCGGCTGTTTTGCTTGGCCAGGAGTAGATGTGGTCAAGATAAAACAAAAAAAAAAAAAGAGTTAATGACTGAAAGAAAGCGTACCTACTAGACGATGATACCGAATATAAAAAGGAGTTTGATGTTCAGGTTGGGCTTTTCAGTTTCCTGGGGAGTAAGGGGAAGTGATGTCATTATTGATGTTGTGGCTTTGATGATATAGTTGGATAAGAGTAACCCTCCGCGCACCCACCCCATTCCCTACATACACCCAAAAACCCCCAAGGTAGCTGGCATGTAAATAACCGTGTTTTAGGTATAAATTTCATTGTTTTACATATCAGGGACCTTGGTCAGATTTCTAGGTTACTTAATTGCGTGATTCTAGTAATATCTATATAGTATTTAGTACAAAATAATATTATTAAAATTAATAGTTCTATTTAATTAATATTAGTTATAAACAATCAAATTCAATTATATTCTACTACTAAATACTAATATCTAATAGCTTAAATAATTTAAAGAGTTCGTTAAACGAGGAAATTAATAATACCTCAATAACTCCCTACTCCTTTACTTTTTACTCCCGTACTCTCGCTACCTAATACCTTCCTAACTTATTATCGCTATCATCATCGTTAATAACCTTAATACAATTACGTACTTCGTCTTAAGTATTAAACTATTTAATTATTAGGAACGTAGGCGAAAGGTAGGCTGAGGTAACTACGGTCGTAGCTACACATAGGGGATAGCAAGTTAGGGGTTAATCTAAAGATATATTAATAATTACCGACTATAATAAACTATACTCTATTAAGCCTCTTTTATACCTATATAAACTCTATTCATCCGCTAATAAGTATTATAGAGCCCTATACTAATTTAACGCTTTAGCGCAGTACCGGATTATTCTTCCTACGAGCCCGACCTAATATAAATATTATTATTAGTAATCCTATACGTCGGTTAATAAAGGGGAGTAATAACCGCTAAAGTACTTCCGTATACGAATTTTAAACCTCTTAATACAACCCCCCCCCTTATAAGTTCCGTCCTTAGAACCTTCACAATTCGTAGTAAATTCCAGTTAAGTAGTAGAGGGCGTTAGTATCGTACTATTATAATATTATTAGACTATATTACCGGCGAAGGTACAATATCCTCGCCCTTTAATTCGGATAAACCGTTATTTATAATAACCGTTAACGCTGTATCCCGAATATTATAACCACTTCGCTACTAGCGAACTACCTATTAAAATATTAACTTTATAATATCCCCTCTCCTAAATTCTAAATATAAATACAAAGCCGCCCGCTAGAATATTAATATTATAATATCCATTCTCCTAAATTCTAAATATAGATACGAAGCTAACTACTAGAATATTAATATTATAATATCCATTCTTATAAGCCCCTAATATAGCGAGCCGCCTGTTAGAATATCGGTATTATAGTATCTATTTTTACGAATTCTAAATACGGATATAAAGCCGGCTACTAGAATATCGGTATTATAATATTTATTCTTATAAATTCCAAATACAATAAACCGCCCGTTAGAATATTAATATTATAATATTTATTCTTATAAATTCTAAATACAAATACGAAGCCGCCCGCTAGAATATCGGCATTATAATATCTATTCTTATAAATTCTAATACGGATACAAAACTAGTATTAAATTTAAAACGCTAGTATGCCGCCCGCTAGAATATTAATATTATAATGTCTATTCTTATAAATTCTAATATAAATACAAAACTAGTATTAAATTTAAAAAATTAACCAGGTTCCCAACTATTACTAAAACC